CTGAGGTGTTTATGTGGGTAAAGTTTCAGATCAAAATTCAAAAATATGGCCTTGCTGCAAATGTGGAGTCTTATAGGAAAAATTCAGTAAAACCTCGATATCTCACTAGGAACAAGCTAGGGCACGAACTTTTTTTACGGTGGGCATGATTCATCAAGGCCTACAAGATGCGCAAAGTCCCGACTAAAAATCGCTCCAACACCTGGGAATGTTCCCTCGTAAGTCGACTTAAGAATGCGCAGTGTTAGTGAAGTTACTGAAATATCGATAGTCAGTCACCGACACTCGAATACTGATTATACTGGTATCCGCGTCCACTACAATAACTCTATCAAAATATGCCTGCATTTTGTAGTGCTGTGTTCCGATGCTTCAGCAAACATTAACATAAGTGTCCACTAATTACACTAATGAAAGAATCTTCTCAAGCGTCTTCTTCCTATTTCAATCATTTCTTTGCTCATAAATACTACATAATGTTCGAATAAAACTCTAAAAGGATTTCATGAGCGATACAAAGATGGTTTGCTTTACTTTAGAATTTACAGATAGGTTTTTGCATTTGTGACAATCACTTTTGTGAGACAACAGATCTATGAGGAATGAAAAAATCGACGACTTCTGCTTGAAAAAACTTATTTTTTATCGAAGCATAAACTGATACAACTTCAAATTGACTTTAACAAAAAAGTAACTCTTTGACCAAACTTGTTTTTCTTATCAGGAAGTATCAGATCAAAGTTTGAAGGTTTGTCAGTATCAGACTGCAACCGTGATCACGGAATGATGAAGTTGTTGAGATCGAGACTGGAAATAAGGAGAAAAAGTTATCTGAATCGAAACTAAAGATTATAGTTAAATGGATTATCTTATATATCATACCTAGATATTGACTCATTCATGTCTAATCATACGAACCAAAGCATAATTCAAAAGAGGTTACAAGAAAAGTATCAAGCATGGGCTAAAAAAATAAAAAAACGAGTATTGTAGAGCTTCTTTAAAGGTGATATAAATAAATTCTGGAATAGTTATCTATAGATTGAGACCACCGAGAAAAAAGTTCAAAAACTTAATCCCGCAGTCTCAACTTAGAACTCATTACTGATTCTGTGTGTTAAAGCTCTAATCGATTTTATACTTGAGATTCATGAAAAACTGCATTGATCATTTATTTTTGTATTTGCATTATATTAACATATATATTTGTTTCTCTATTTAGCGATGTTTGTCTGCAGTACATGCTGTTTTATCAAGTAAATTAACACGACTTGAACTTGTTTTCGATGATCGAAAATCTAATTTATCATTTATACTTCATTGCCGATATAGTAAGTTTATTTTAAATAAATATATAGGAATTAGTATTCTAAATAATTCTAATTGATAGATATTATGAAAATTCATTCATGTTTTTATATTGATTGTGAGAAACTTCAAGCACGTTTTGATAAACAATCATATAAAAATTGTGTATCAATTATGAGTAAAACATTACAAGATTTAACAGCTCATTTTCCAGCTAAATGGGATGAAATAACAATTCGTGTAACAAAAGATCAATTTATTATTAAAAAATGTGATGAAATTGTTCATGATGGTTGGTAAAATTTCAAATAAAAAAAGAAGATTGCTCAAGAAATTTTATCATATCTAGATGAAAGTGTTGCTTATGGTATGAATTTTCAAGTTGTTTGTGAGCCAAGAGAATTTATTAGTTATGATATACAATGTAAATCAGATATTACATTTTGTCTACGAGAATTTAAAGTAGATTGTTCTATTTTTACATATTTTTTTATCCTATCACAAAAAGAAATTTCTTTCAGTTTTTATTAGGTTTAGCTGATTTACTCAATTTACCTATGACAATATATTTTGATAGTCGTGGACGGTAAATAATCAGCTATTAAATAAATTGCTAATGGAAATATTTTTAGACAAGATGTTGATTCATTTTTAAATCACTAGAAAGTATTTCTGACAAGTCAACAAGCATGAATTAGGACAAGAAGTTTGTGCTCTTTTAGAGTATAGGCTTAGAAATTTTGTTTCAATTCTTGTTCCAGAGTAATAAAATAGTCTTTGAAAAGGTCAGAAAAAAAAATAGTTTGGATAGCAAATTTTCTGTATTATCACTATTGCAGTTCGAAAGTAAAAGTTGAAATCTTTATTTATACATCAGACTGTAGATGAGAAACTACTCTACAAAAATGCACTATTTCTAGTCTTTTTTATCTTTCCATAACGGACCTTAGTTTTCATTTTTACGAAATACTCAATTCGAAAAAGTCGACATTTTGACCAAAAACCGTTTTACGTTGAAAGGAGTTCTTAAAAAAAAAACCTACAGCTTAGTTCAATATCAAATTTTGTAGAGAAGTGTCCGCTCTACAAAATGAACCGATTCTGAAAATTATTAGTATGTTCGAAAGGGATTTTATACAGTAAGCAAAAATCTGTTAGCTCGTCATTAATAATAATTTTTCAGGATTCTCAAAACATTTCTCACTATTAGAGATATGCCGGATCAAGTTTTTTTTGGTCACGGTGACGCTAACTTTTTCATCCACCGATTCCGGTCATAGTATCGATGACTTTAGTTTTCCAGGACGTAGTTTTGGTCTACAAAAAGCTATTCCAAAATTTATTCGTATCGTATCTAAAATAAATCCTCAATACTTGTTCTTTTAATTTATTGAGTCGACGGCTAGCATACTACTTTTGGTGCCGTTTCTCTTGAATTGTGTATGTATTCATATGATTTATAAGATAATTTGCTTGAAACAATAGACTTTTTTACTATAAACTTCAGTACTTATCTCGGGAAATTTTTTTCTCGTAGTCCTGATTCCGTACATCTCTACTCGCTACTTTCGAACAAAATTCTCGTCCTAACTCAGACCTTTTGATTCATCGGATATACTTTCCAACGGGTCGAAATTGAACAAATATCTTGTCTATAGAAATTCTCCGACCATTCGTTAATATTATTTATAA